CTTAAGGTCTGCCCTCAGGTGAAACTAGTTAACCAAAGCCTAGCCTGCTGGGTATTATCAGGGCTAACTGAACTGGAGGAAGGAAAATACTCAACTCCAGCCCACTCTAGCTATCCTGTCCCATCTGAGGGGGAAGAAAAAACTGAGAAGCACTTGTAAAGTTCACAGTCCAGAGGCACAGGCTCACCAAAAGAATAAGACCTAATCATAGAATGCTTCCTCTCCTCTCCACATCTCACCACACACCCTAATGGCCAATTTACGGCAGTTCCTTTTACCTAGAGTATCATGTCTGACTATCGGGAAAAAATTACAAGGCATAGCAAAAAGCAAAAAAACACAATTTGAAGAGATAGAGCATGTATCAGAACCCAACATTGTAAGGGTGTTGGAATTAAAGGCCAGGAATTTAAAACAATTGTAAGTATGCTAAAGGCTCTCATGGATAAAGTAGACAGAGTGTAAGAACAGATAGGCAATGTAAGAAGAGATGAAGAACCTAAGAAAAAAACAAAAATATAATTCTATTTTAAGTATTAGTTAATATTTACAAATACGTTCAAATACATTCAAATACAGTCTGGAAGTATATATACCAAAATATGTACAGCGGTTTTCTCCAAGCTATCCCTGGAAGTACAGGAAATTTTTTATCCTGTGTGCTTTTCCATATTTTCCAAGTTTTCTACAGTGCATATGCATTATTTTTAAAATCAAATATATAAGGTTTTTACATTTTTTTAAAGATCTAAAGTTTACAGAACTCTGAATTAGCTGGAACTAATTGAGACAGTTTGAGACAGCTGAAACTGGCCCAACTCTTTCAAATTCTAAATAGCAATTAGAAATAGACGCTAGCAAAAGTAGAGAGACAGGATCCAGGAAATCAACCTGCTATAAAGGGAAGAGAAAAGAAATACCTGGGAGTTCCTGGTATAAGAAGTGGAACATGCTATGGTTTCTTGGATTCAAAGGAGAGTGGAACAAGGAGAAACAACAATTAAAAAAAAATCTTAAAGATCCTCACCCCTTACTCTGCTAGCACACAGCAGCTTTACAGGGCCGTGTCAAAGGTTAGAAAGGTAGGTATCAACTCCTCTCCTAAATTTAATTGCTTTGCCAGATTAAACTAAGAGAAGAAATAAATGGTCAAAGGCACCTCAAGGCAACCTTCACAAGTAGGGGTTGAAACATTCCTTACATAGAAAGTCAGGAGTGAAAAAAAAAAAAGTCAGGAATAAATGCTGGGATGGACCAAAATGCATTCTGATAGTTTCAAGTCTGAGTCAAATGAAGTGAGTAAAAGCAAGAGGCAAAAATGGACTGCATGCCAGGCAATAGACACACGTCAGCTATGGGATGAAACAGGTAGAAAGGCAATGCAATGGTTCATTTTATGTGTCAACTTGGCTTGGCAATGGTGTTCAGTTATTTGGTCAAATGCCTGTCTAGATATTGCTGTGATTAACATTTAAAACAGTACACTTTAGGAGATTTACCCTTTATAATGTGGGTGGGCCTCATCCAATCACTTGAAAGCCTTAAAAGAAAAGACTGAAGTTTCCCGCACAAGAAGAAAATTCAGCTTCAAGATTGCAATATAGAAACCCTGCCTGGGTTTCCAGTCTGCTGGCTTGCCCTATGGATTTCAGACTTGTCAGCCCCTACAATTGTGTGAGCCAATTCCTTGAAAAGTAAATTTCTTTTTTTTACTCATTCTCTTTCTCTTTATAGATTATATGTATTATATACATACACATATATAATATTATATATACACATATATTTTATTTTAAACACACACACACACACACACACACACACACACACACATACAAATAGACTGTGGACAAAAACAGGGGTTCTATGGAAAGTACCCTCACAGGGTTATCTGACCATAAATTCCTAACTGGGCAGGTCAGGCTGCATTGTCAAGCCCCAGGCATATAGCTTCTTTACTATAAGGCTTATCTCTGCCTTAAGCAAGATATGCCTATTGTTTCTGTGCATCTAGGTTAACACACCTTTGAAATGCCCTCTTTCAGAGTCCCCAAGAGAGCACATAATCTTGTTAACTATCCTATAATCCCACCCTCACATTGCTTCTTCCCACCTTCTTGTCATCTTTCTTAGATTCCCATCTTAATTTCAAATACATTAAAAAAAACTGCAAACTGTTACTCTTGGAAGCATTTATCTCAGTCTGTTGAGATCTTGCTTTAAGGTGTATCTTCTTTTAGGCTCAAATAAATTTTTATAAAAATTCTCTACAGGTTTGGATATTTCTTACATTGACAAGATATAGACACATATGTATATGTATATGTATATATATACATACATATATATATATGTGTATACATATATATACACACACAGAAATATAGATATATCCAATCTTTCTGTTTCCCTGGAGAACTCTGTCTAATGTAGGTAATAAAAGATGAAATCTATTCACAAAGATCAATAAGGCAAAATCTTGAACTAGAGGCAATGGAACTGAAAATGGCTAAGGCAGGCAGCAACAAGAGATCAAAGATTCCTGGACATATGAACGACATGATAAACAATTCATTTAATGAAGATTATTTTGGAATCTATAATATGTGTAATATGAACTAGATCTGAGGGGTGCTACAGTTAGAGCCCATTTTGAGAAATCTAGGCCAAAGGATTTTGTGGGTAGCTATGGAAATGAAAAGGAACACATTCATACAATAAGAATACGGCAAACAATTTAACAGGCATATTTTGCATTCTTCAGATCTTTAAGTAAAAGTTCTATAGGAATACTGTTCATATATAAAGATATTAACTTACCATATTTGTCTCGTAAGCCAACGGTACATCTAAAGACTCCACCAAAGGCAACATCTTCACCAAATATTACTGAAAACAGTATTTAAAGAATAAATTTTATTTAATAATCCCTCAATGAGAGTAACAATGAGAAATAAGTAATTTAAATGTTTACATTTTAAATCAGAAAACAGAAATGGACCATAGGTCCAAAGTCTCTCAATTTTTAAATCATTGACATTTTGGACTAGATAATTGTTTTGTTGTAGCAGCCTGTCCTGTGCATCGTAGATATAAAGCGGCATATCACACCTCTGATCTTTACCCAGTGGACGACAACTGCCCCCTACACACAGATGTGACAGCTAGAAATGTCTCCAGACATGAGGAGGAGAGGGGATTAAAATCACCCCATTTGAGAAAGAAACACTCCTCTAGAATCTCAGCTTATTTTACCGTGAAGAACATGAGTCCAGAAAAGGAGCAAAGGAACTTGCCAAGTCAGAAAGCAAGAGGCAGAACTATTACTCACACTCCAAGCTCCTAAGTCCCTGACCATTGTTTTTTTTATACATGGTATGTTATATTATGAGAGTCAGCAATCGCAAGAGCTTAAGAGAAAACATTCCAAGCCAAGAGAACAGTCACAAATAGGAAAGTGAATTATAATGTGTGAAACAGAAAGGAGACAAGTATGGTGGGACAGAACAAGGAAAATAGTATAGATGCAAATTGCAAATAGCTTTTTTAGTAAGGCAAAGAAAATAAAATAATGGGAACTCATAGTGCTGAATTCTAGTCACATTAATGCATCTAAGCAGTTCTGTGGATCTCAGAAAAATAACTTACCCTTCTCTATTCATCAAGATCAAACATTTTCAGATAGCATTCAAAACAAAGCAATACCTAATTATTCAATAGTCTAGCTCTCACTTCATTCTAAAAAATAAACTGTTTTGACTCAAAACTATAGATTCTCAAGTGGAAGTTCAATATACATATATATGGTATATATACACACCCCGCACACACACATACAGTAAAGCCTATCAAATTTATAAAACATATAGCAGGACAGCTGTTTTAATATCGATAATTTAATGTGATAAGATAAAGGTTAATTTACTTATAAATTTATTCTCAAAAATTTTACAAGCTGAATGACAATGTATCTATCCTAAAGAAAAGCACGGAATTAAATCTTGATTTTATAAATAGCTGAATGAAGTGGTATTTTTCCATTCTTTCTAGTAGATATTAATCCAGAAGTTATTAATATAATATCAGGACCATACATAATATGGGAAAAAGTTAACTTGATGACGTCAGATATACATGAGAACAAATCCGTAATGAGTGGATTAGACAAATGTGTTAATCTCATAATTTCATTAACCTTAATCAATTGGTCCTGTCTTTTATAAATTCCAGATAGATATAATGTTAATCACTGAGCTCCAAATAACTATTTCGAGCAAAACTTCAATTCTGAAGTAACACTGCTACCACAATCAACCACAAAGGAAGTTTACCTGCAGTAGGATCTTTGGCCAATGAGTTATCCAAGGCACTTGTTACTGCCTGGAAAAGATTCATTTTCTGAGTCTGCCCTGTGAAAATAAATTTTTTTAAAAAGTAACATCTCATACATTATAAAATACACAAAAATAACCCATTTATTAACAGTTGATGACAATTTGATTAAAATCAAGGTAGAAAGAGAGGTACAAAATATATTATGTGAATTTACTGGATTATTAAAGATGATGATGGCCCTGTGGAAGATACAAAAGCAACACAGACTTTAAGACGCTTGTTGATGAGGAAAAATGTACATATAGCAAACAATTAAAAAACAAGTATAAAAAAAAGAAGAAAGAATATAATCTAGTGACCAAATGTATGTAAACAATAAATAAAAGCTATGGAAAGTCAGAAAAGGGAACCAGAGTGGTCTGGGAAGATGCCCTGGACGGCTGTTAGGAACATAAGCCATAAAGAATGCACGTGACCAGTGGCGTGTGTTAAATATGCCAATGAACGCAAATGGTCACGGACCATAAAACAATGAAGAAGGCTACAGATAAACTTCAGTATCCAGAACTGCTGGTGTTTGGAGAATACTAGAATCCCACACCTTAACACATTAGATTTGATCCTTCCTATTATCTTATTGCTCAAGTTATAATCCCTGCAAGCCAACCTCTATCTCCCTAAATGGGTTATTGGTGGGTTAAATGGAACAATACATGTAAAGCACTTAGAACAATGCCTGACACAGCGAGTGCTGAATAAATATTCACTATTTATTGTTAGATTCTGGACTTTGTCCATGTCCTCCATCTGGACCTGGGCATTATTCTGTAGAGTATAACTTCATTTGAAAAAGTTCCAAATGTTGAAACTCAGAAACATCATGATTTTCGAACTATGATTTAAACTGCCCAGTGTTCACAGTCATCGTAGAACTTTAGGTCACTTCCTCTCCAAAAGCACTACTGAGAGCAGAGAAAGGCTTCTGCCTGAATCTCTCCGATCCACAAGCTCAGTCTTCATTTTAGTGCCTGATCTGTGCACTGGTGCTCATTTTAACCTACAGCCATGCTAATATCAAATCCCTTAAACACCCACTGTTTACCCTGACCGTGGCCTATCTGATCTCTGTGCTCCCCAGTAGCCTAGTGTGTCCCAAAGGCCAAGGTCTAACTCCCAGGGCAGGTCACAACAGCTACTGTTATTGCCTTCAACCCTCTGGCTATGAGACAGTGGTAACTCATTTTTTCCTGGAGACCCATCTTCTTGGCAAGACTCCATGCCAGGCTCTGACCTGTGACATTTTGAATCTTCCATTATCTACTGACACCCGGCCTACCAATTCTGTCTGCTCTGGCCTCAGATACCTCCCTGACCTCTTCAACACTGCTGCATGCCCAGGTTTCAGGTCTTGGCAATATCCAGGCAGATCTACCCTGCTGCCCTTAGTGCCCAGAATAAAGGCCTATTTCTACTTTTATTTCTAGTGGGTATAACATGAGTTTATTCAAGAAAATACTGTTATATCACCAATGTCAAAGAAACACAATCACACCACATGTCCATGATCACATCATAACTTATTTTTCTTCAGGCTAGGCTATATCATTTAATAGATACTTTCCTTAAATCCTTCTCCGGTCTATAAAAACTCTTTAAAGTGTTCATTGGTGCCCCGCATTAGATGATAATAGTTTAGGGTAAACCCTTTTCCCAACCACCATTATATTTCCACCCTTTCTCCTATTTCATATATTTCCTAACATAACATTTTTGTTTGTCTATTAGGATTTTCATAGCTAAGAACCTAGGGAGAAGGAAAATGCCTAAACATCTAAGCTGGTATGTACTTCAAGTCTGCTGACCATTAGAATTAATATTGAATGTCTCAAAATATCCAATCTCACTGCTACTCAGCAAATTTTCAGTAGACTTCAGTAATAAAAATCATACAAAATAAATCTGAAAAGTATTTCCTGATAATCACAAAGAATTTACTCCTCTTGAAAACAATTTACAAGTAAGGGTATTTAAAGGTTATATTTCCATCTGAGCACATAAACTTTCACTCCTGAATACCTTTTTTCAAACAGATTTAAAATTTTAGGGTTCTGGATTAACTGCTACTCTACTAGATGCTTTAAAATTTTTTAATTACAATTTTTAATAAAGTAACATCTACTTTTGATTCTTTTTAAAGTTGCAATATGATTTTTGGATGGGTCAAGAATAAATACAAGTTATTCACAGGTAAGATCATTTTAAATATTTAATTTCCTTAAAATTACTTTTTCTCCAGTAGGTTATACCAAAGACCATTGATAAAACATGCCTGTGTTCCCTCATGACAGACAGGCACACCTGTAGCACATCTAACCAAAGCTATACGACTGGTAAGACCTGAAAAACTAAAAATGATGGCTTATGAACACCGCTCAAAAATTATTAAACACAGCTGCCAAATCACACAAATAGTAGTGTTAATTAATACACAGCTGCCAGATTTCAAGACCAGACTGACAACACTTCTTTCCAAGATAAAAAGTTATAAGAAAACAAACATAAAAATGTATGCACAGCAGCACAATTTCCTGAATCAAGGATGCAGGCTAATGAGTACCTTTTGGTAAAATAGGGCTTTATGGGTGGAATTGAGCCACTCACTCTAACTCATCCTAAGTAGAGAATCATGAATAACCAGGTCATCATCATAGCTGCAAAGATAAAGTGGCATGTCAGTGGACTGGAAGGGACACAATAAAAGATAAGCTCCAAGAGGCAAAATTCTTCTCTGCCTTAGATCAGCACTGTATGTTCTGTGCTTACAACAATGTCCAACATGTAGGAGGTGCTCAATAATATTTGTTGAATAAATGACTGAACAAATACATGTAGCTATTTCAATTAAGATTAAAAGAATACACAAAGCAAATAGAAAACTCAACAAGAGAAAGGAATGGCTTAGGAAAAAAAAAATCTGCCAATATCACAATTCAAAGACAGACTGCAGATGAAGCAGGGGTAGGAGAGAGGGGATAATGAAATAACAGTCTGATGGAGTATTCGGTTATTTTTAATAACTATTTAGTAGGCAGTAGCATTGAAGGGAGAAAAAAGCCTTCCAGAGCACTTGAGACGTAGGGGCAAATTGGTCCCAAGGAGTAGTCTCCAGAAATAAATAGGGTCAAGAGCAAGGCATGTCAACAGTAAGTGTATTTGTAGTTAGACTTCAAACAAATAATGCACAGATATGATATGGAAAATTAGGGTCTACATTGAGAAAATGAAGTTTCTGCCAATACTTTGAGTACTGGTCCTCCTCTGAGGACTTGCCTAGAACTTGCCCTTGACCTGTGTATCATATTCCTCAGAAACTTTAGCCTTTAGCACAGTGCCTAAGACATACATGACAAACAGTACACACCTGTCGAAGCATGATGATAATTTCAGTGGCTTAATCTGGCACTAACTACATTAATGAAATGGGAAGATGCCTAAGGAACTATATATTTTTCCTTAAAACCTCTTCCACCCTTCCAGATTCTGTTCTCCAGGAATCCCTTTCTATGTGCCATATATATACATCTAGCCCACTCTAACCCCTTTTAAAGGTGTCCCAACCTCTACCCCATAAAGTAAGTTTCAGGGAGAGTCCAAATATCAGATACAGAATATTTTATATTAAAATGTAAATAAAGGATCTATAAACAAAAATGCCTGTTTAAGATGCCAGTTATACTGCATAGCCACAAAAAGGAAGAAAATGAACACTGCTGGGGAAGAAAGTAAACAGTACTGATGGCAAAAATGGGATGAGGAAAACTATGAATCAAGTTTTTGGGTGATAAATAGAGCAGAAACTTGAAGGTGGGCAAATTACAATGAAAGAGAACAGCAGTCTCTACTCAAACGAAATGCAAAAGAAACAGTGCATTTGGGGAAAGCCAGGTTTGAGTTAGGGTTAAGAGAGAGCCAAGTGTTATGTGAAGAAACTGAAACATATACTAAAAATGCAAAAGGCAGCATAGCAGAGTCCTTAAGAGCACAGCCTCTTAAAGCCAGACTGAGCCAGACTAAAAAAATGAAGCCTGGATCCACCTCTTACAAATGGTGTGACCTGGGGAAGTTTGAATGACACGAAGTAGAAGTTTAACCTCTTCATGTCTCAGTTACTTCACTAATAAAACATGGATCATAATAAGATCTCTACCACAGCACTGTTATATGAGGATTAAATGAATTGATATAGCGACTCAGAACACTGGCACATGGTGAACACTGATAAGTGTCTATCATTATTATAATTCTGTGGGGTACCATGGAAAAATGTGGGTAAGCAATAATAAAGTGAGTCAGAACAAGGAAATACAGAGTAGGAAAAGAGGAAGGACACACAGTTGGGACAATTCTGAATAAGATGA